GCCCTGAAGGCCAAAATCCTGCAATCTCTACAAGCCCTACACATTCAAGCCTGAATCCTTAACCCTTCGCCCCGAAATCCTGAGCCCTTAGCCCTTCAAAGTCCTTAAGCCCTGAACCTTCAGCCCTGAAGCCTCAAAACTCTTGACCACACAGCTCGAAGCCCTGGAACGTAGCGCAAGCGCTTAGAACACAAAGCCCTGAAGCCCTGACCACCGCCTCTACCCCAAACCCTAAACCCAACCCCCCAAACACCTAACCCCCCAACAGTCAACGCTGAAGCCCCAATGCCCTAAACCCCAAACTCCCCCAACCATAAAGCTTCGACCCTAAACCCCAATCCCCAAACCCTAAACCCTAAACCCTATACCTACCAAAACCCCCCTCAACCCCAAACCCGAAACCCCAAACCCCATACCCCAAACCCTAAACCCTAAACACCAACCCTAAACCCAACCCCCTCCCCAAAGCCCCCGACCCCAGCCCCTTTTGATCCATCAGGCGAGAGTCGCCTCCCCAACCAGGCTGGGGGGGCATCGCCTCGGTTTTCAAATGCAGGGGTTTAGGGTTTAGGGTTTAGGGTTTAGGGTTTAGGGTGAAGGGTATGGGGACCTCCGGATGTAGATGACCAGTGTGTGGGAAGGTCATGATAAGACCCCGAAACCCTTCCATAATCAGGCTCTGTCAGCCCTGCAAGCCCTACTTGGAGGTTCATGGGACTTAAGAACCACTTATAACTGGGCTTATAACCCTACTTATAATGGGGATACCCCCTACAAGGCCCTTTAGGGGTATTATAAGTGGGGTTATAAGTACAGTTATAAGTGGTTAGTAAGTACCATGAACCTTCAAGTAAAACCTCTAAGCCCTCTAAGCCCTCCAAATCTTCCGGTTTGGGGTTTCGGGTTTGAGGGGTTGAGGGGGGTTTAGGGTTTAGGGTTTAGGGTTTAGGGTTTAGGGGTTAGGGGTTAGGGTTTAGGGTTTAGGGTTTAGGGTTTGGGGTTCAGGGTTAAGCCCTCTAAACCCTTTGAACCTTGGCGTGGGTGCTCACGGGTCTAGCTTGCAGGGCTTCCCGCATAATTTGTTCGCATGGAGCCACTTTTCTCAACCCTACAAGTCCCTATGCCCGAAGCCCCAAACTCGAAAGCCGCTCTCCCTTCCTCCTGGTCGGCCTAAACCCCAAACCCCAAACCCGAAACCCCAAACCCGAAACCCCAAACCCGAAACTCCAAACCCCGAACCCTAAACCAAAACCCCAAAACCCCAAAACCCTAAAACCCCAAAACCCCCAAACCTTGCACTTTTCTTCCTCTCCGGCGCTGGTGAAGACGCAGGCCATCGACCGCGCAAGCGAGGGCCGCGGCCTCCCCAGCGCCAGGTTGTGGCAGGGGTTTAGGGTTTAGGGTTTAGGGTTGAGGGTTTAGGGGTTTAGGGGTTTAGGGTTTAGGGTTGAGGGTTTAGGGGTTTAGGGTTTTAGGGTTTTAGGGCTTTAGGGTTTTAGGGTTGTAGGGTTTCGGGGTTTTAGGGTTTTAGGGTTTTAGGGTTGTAGGGTTTCGGGGTTTTAGGGTTTCAGGGTTTTAGGGGTTTTAGGGGTTTAGGGTTTTAGGGGTTTGGGGTTTAGGGCTTCGGGATGATGAGGGCCACGGTGTCCAGCGGACTGAGGGCTGAGGTTTTCTTCAGGGTTCTGGGGTTCAGGGCTTGTTACGGCTCAAAAGTTTTCGGGTTCAGGAACCTAAACCCCAACCTCAAGCCCTTAAGCTCCAAAACCCTCGAACCTTAAGGAGTTCTGGAAGGGGACCAGAGCTTCGCAAAGTCCTTCTTCAAGCTTCGCCCCCGTGAGCCCCAAGCCCGAAACCCTAAAACCCTGAACGGTAAACCCCGAAACCTATCTTCATCCCGAAGCCTGATCTCTTGAACCCTTTAGGGTTTAGAGTTTAGGGTTTAGGGTTTAGGGTTTGGCTCAGGTGCTGGAGTCGATGTCCCAGTCGCTGACCAGCCTTTACCTGAGCTGCTGCGAGAACTTTGTCCGGTGAGTCCTCAGACGGCTTAGGGTTTAGGGTTTAGGGTTTAGGGTTTAGGATTAGGGTTTAGGGTTTAGGATCCCCTCCCCCCCTCCCCCAAAGCCTCATCTCTAGAGCATCCTATCCCACAAAAACCTTCATGAACTGCCAACATCTTGCCATCCCCATCCCCTCCCCAGCCCATGTCAACATCGCCCCGAAACCTTGAGCCCTAAATCACCCGTAAACCTTAGACTCTAAACCCTAGACTCCTACTACACACATCTTGCCCCTGCAACGCCCGGAAGTTCGGACACGCGCACCCTGAAGGCTCCGAAGCTTCAGGGTTTTGGGGGTTTAGGGTTTAGGGTTCTAGTCTTTATCAGGTTTCAGGGGCTCAGGGGCTTTAGGGTTTTAGGGGTTGTAGGGATTATAGGGGTTTAATAGGGTTGTTAGGGGTTTATAGGTTCTGCTTTTTTAAACTAACTGAACCCTAAACCCTGAACCCAAAAAACCCTAAACCCTAAACCTTAAGGGGTTTAGGGCTTACAGGCAGGGGTTTGAATGGGCGTGTGTACGCTCTCCCGCAGGTTCCCGCGCGAGCTCCGCCGGGGCGCCCAGAGCACCCAGAGGACTCCACTGAGGAGTCGGCAGTAGTGCGCTTTCTGAATTTCCCTTGTTAAGGTTTGGGGTTTGCGGTTGAGGGTTTAGGGCTTGGGTTTCGGGTTTTCGGGTTTCAGGGTTTAGGGCTTGTTTTAGGGTTTAGGGCTTGGGGTTTAGGGTTTTCGGGTTGAGGGATCCGTCATACACCCAAGAACAGCCAAGAAGGGTGCGCCCTTTGATTTCCCAGGATACCGGGGAACTTCGGCCTGAGAAAGAAGAATCCTGGGGCATGCCCACAGGGGCTTGGGGGTTTCAGGGTTTTAGGGTTTAGGGTTAGGGTTTAGGGTTTAGGGTTTAGGGTTTAGGGTTTAGGGTTTAGGGTTTAGGGTTTAGGGTTTAGGGTTTAGGGTTTAGGGTTTAGGGTTTAGGGTTTGGGTTTAGGGTTTGGGGTTTCAAGGGTTTGGGTTTTGGGGTTTGGGATGTAGGGTTTTGGGTTTAAGGTTTGGAGTGTAAGGTTAAGGGTTGGGGGTTTAGGGATTATGGTTGCGGGTCGGGAGTTGGGGTTCAGTATCTTTGGCATGGAGCCCCGTCAAAGAAGCACCGTGGCAAACCCAAGAAGCAAACCAACAGAGAACAAAACAAAGTAGGACCTTGGGGGGAGATTGCGTCCTTTCTGTTGTTGCGTTTGAGGGGATCTCATTCAGGAGCAAATTGTCAGAGGTTTTAAAGGGCCAACCTGTCAAAGGCTTTCGTTTTAGGGTTTGTTGGGGTTTCGGATGTTCGGGTTGGGTTCGCATGCAGGTTTCGGTTCAGGGCACAAGAGAGCTACGATTCAGTCCCAGGCTCGGACGTATAAACTGCCACGCACCTCATGCCTACACCCTACGGTTTGGGTTTTCAGGGTTTAGGCTTTTAGGGTCATCCCGAAACCCTAGACCCTAAGTTTTAAGCCCTAAGCCCTAAGCCCCAAGCCCTAAGCCCCAAGCCCGAAGCCCGAAGCCCTAGGCCCTAAGCCCTAGACCCTGACCCGACCAAGAATTCTTCCTCAGACCAAGGCCGAAACCCTGAAGCCCTAAAGCTCTGAACCCCGAATCCCTGACACCGTAAACTCTGAAACCCCTAGATCCCAAACCCTACAGCATCTGGAGCCTGAACCTTGGCTACGACCTCCCCGAAGCTCCCAAGAGTCTGAGACCTCAAAGAGGAGGGGATATTTGGGGATGTAGGGTTTAGGGTTTAGGGTGCCCTTGTCTGGGTCATGCTCAGGTCAACGCGGCCGTGAACACGGGAGAGCTCAGGACGCTAGCCTTCCGGCTCAGCTTTTTTCGGTGACTTTTCCCTGTCTCTTGACACGTTTGACTGGCGACATCCTCTCAGGGCGATTTGTGTGGTGAGTTGCTTTCTAGGGCAGGCTCGGTTGTAGAATCTTGGGCAGCCTGCACGTTGCTTTCTCAGCGACTGCTCATGTTAAGGCGGGGACCCTAAACCCTCAGCGAGCCTAAGCGCCCTGCTGCAGTCAGCCAGAGGTTGATCTGGAACGGAATTCTAGAGTTCTAGGGGCCCTACTCCCTCTATGGCCCTCGAACACCTGTAGATTTTTAGTTTTGGGTCCCCAATCCACCACAGGGAAGACTGTCCCAAACCATGCCCCACTTGCTGTTGGGCATAGTAGGGTTCAGGTACTCTTCTCATTCACCCGAAAAGGACTAGGGCACCCCAAGCTTGTGGGATTCAGAACGTCCCCTTGTAGGGTCGGCTTCTTCCTCCTCCCCGTACTCGGACCAAGCCGTAAACCCTCCTTAACAGGGACACTTGGGAATATTTTTTTGCTTCAAATCTACTTTTTGGTACTATAGTTCCTTAGAAACAGCTAGAACTAGATTTTTTGCTAGGGTTCCAAGCTCAATATAGAAACACCACCAAGGTCTAAGACCCGACGCCCACCAATTGCTGCACCAAGCCGAGGTCGCCGAGAGCTGGGGCACCGGAAACGCATGGGACTCAGAGCTGGAGTGCAGGGCACGTGGGCGTTTAGGGTTTAGGGTTTAGGGTTTAGGTTTTAGGGTTGGAGCGCAGTGCACATGGCCGAAGGGGGGAGCAGAAGGCCTTGGGCCCTTAGGGGGCCGTCGGGTCTTAGGGCCCTAGGATTATGATAAGGGGGTGATGTGTTGATGTGATGTCTGTGCATTCCGGAGCAGGAAGCGAGGGCTTGAGGTCGATGCGGTGTAGAAGCCGAGATCATCATGAATGCCCGTGTGCCACCGCCATCACCGACAACGATTGGTTTGAAATTCGTTCCTCCTCCCCCCCCCCTCCTCCCCGTCAAGCCATGCCTAAACATGCCGTGATTGGATCGCTGCAGCTGATTAGGCTCATAGCGGAGGGCAAAGGCTGAGGAGATGCCCAGCGAGTGGCAATCATGGGGCAACTCCACGTCGTGGGCTCAGGGCAATGCGTACATGGAGGACGGCTGGTGCACGGAGTGTCGCCGTCGCGGGGAAGGGTGGCGCAACGGACACAGCACGTTCTATTGCCAAGCGTGCTGGAGCAAGTACACTGCCCAGTCAACCAAACACTGGCATCAGCAGGCGAGTGAGGATGATGATCACTATGAAGGCAAGGCTTATCACGATGAGATTCTAACAGCCGATCAGCTTGCTGCAGAAGGAGAGGAGGGAGTCATCGCGCAGGCCTTGTGTGAGGCAGAGGAAGCCCTGTGCAAGATGCAGAAGCAGACCAGCGCAGCTGCTGAAGAAGGTGCCGCGAAAGCCAGCCAGGAGGGCGATGTCGACGAGAGCAGTGACTCCTTCACACCACTTCGTAGTTTCTGCACCCCAGGACCGGTGCAATCCGAACTCCAGCCAGCTCACATCATCGCACTCGTGGATACGTCCGGGTCCATGCGCAAGATCGATGTCTGGCCTACTGAAGGCCAGAGCTGCGTGTCCCGCCTTGCCGCCGTCAAGGAAACATTGTCCACGTTTTATCAGAAGCAGCATGGGCGGACCGCTTGCAGCAGCATGACGTGGAACGCATCGTCAGCTTCTTACGGCAGGCGGCCGCGCACATCGTGGGCTTCAGCAGATTGCCCTCACCGCTTTTCCTTAATATCGTTCTCTCACACCTCCAAAGTCCACTTCGTCCGGCAGAGCGCAGCAGACGCCTGGGGTCAAGTCAGCTGGCAAAGCTGCCTCAACACAGCCAGGGACGGTACCCACTTCGTCACAGGCCTGGCAGCTGCGGAAAAGCTCTTGGGGCGGCCGGCCGGCACGCCCCACCTTCTGATTTTCAGTGACGGCTGCCCAGCAGATGCCAAGCAGACCTTGCTCGTGGTGCAGCGCCTGCTGCGCGACTCGCAAGACTTGCGGATTCACGCCATCGGCTTTGGGGACAACTTGGACTTTGACTTGCTGAAGCAGATGGCACGTGATGGGCGAGGGACCTTCACCCGCTCCGACCGCTCGATTGCGGCCTTGCATCAAGCTTTTGCCGCAGTGTCATCATCCATCACTCAGACTCAGACGGTCACAAAGACTAGCACTTTTTCCTTCAAGGGCAGTTCTGGCCAATCCAGCGAAGAGGCCTTTCGGAAGCGAAGGCAGGCGACCTTCGAGCCCTCTGTCCACTTTGTCTTCGACACCGGCTCCGTCACGTTTGAAAGCAGCCGCCAGCATTGGAGCTACGATGGCAAGTCCTTCAAGAATCTTAGGGATATTTGGAAACCTTTTATTGCTTTTTGGGCACTTTGGTTCCTAAGAAGCAGCTATAATTATATTTCGGCTAGGGTTCCAAGCTCAGTACAGGAATCACGTGCGCCCCGGTAGACCGTATGAGAATGTCTCCATGAGGCGTTTGCCTTTCACCGAAGGTGGTCTCCGCCTTGTTCATGGCTTCCAAGCCGGATTTGGACTCGGCTTTGAAACTTAAAATTCTTTGGTTATAGTTGTAATGATAGGGATGCGTGAATTAATTTTTTAAGAAGTTTTTGTAGGAACATTTGAGGTTTCAGAGACCCGACCGTCCCATCACTTGCCGATCATGCAGCCGGGACGGATGCGCCAGACCAGGCGCCCATGGTCGCGAAAGTGTCCAGATATCTGGATGAGCGGCACAACTCCCTGGACGTCGTGTCAGCCTATGCCAAAAGCAGCGCATGCGCTCTCTTCTACTCCCACCTTTTCCGTCAGCATGCTGCAAAATGCCTCGGGAGGGAGTCGAAGGCGCTGGCCAGGATCATTTTCATGGAGTGCTGCTGGGTTCCTGTTCAGGCGCTTAACCTTTAAGTGACCACAATAAGGGTGCTTCTTCCATTTGTGTTCTCAAACCCTCTAATTCATGGTAGCTTAAGGAGCTTGAAAACTAAGTAACCACGATACGGGTGCTTGTCTATGCATTCTAGAACCCTCTCAAGATAACCCCATGTAACATTCCTTAGCAAGAGCCCAGGTTATGTCTACAGCGCCAAGGCAGGAAGCCAGGCGCCGGCGCCGGTCATGGCGGCCGAGCGGTATCTGCCAGGCGAGTTCATCAAGTACAACTCAAACAACGGCTGCTGCGGTGGCATTAGGGTTTAGGGTTTAGGGTTTAGGGTTTAGGGTTTAGGGATAGGGGTTCCCAAAACCACCCCCAGGCTATGTGAACAGTGATGCGCCGGACTCCGAGATTGCCCAGGCGTTCTCGCACTTCACCTATGAGTTCAGCCTGGGGAAGCAGATGGTCCTGGACCTCCAGGGTGTGTACCTGGACCAGAATCGCCGGTCGCGACCGCACATCATCATGACGGATCCCCAGGTCGTCTCGGTGGAGAAGTCCTTCGGGGTGGCCGACCTCGGGGAGAAGAGCATGGAGGCCTTCTTCCGGCACCACGTGTGTGGTAGCAGCTGTCGGATGCTCAAGCTGGATCCCAAGGCGCTCCTCAAGGCAAGGCTGTACCGGGCCAGTGAGGCGCAGGGACTCCCAAGCGCAGAGGCTCCGCCTCCGATGGAAGCGATCGTGGTGCCGAGCTCTCTGCCGGACCTGCCTTCCTCCGGGCTGCCCCCGCGGGCGCCGCGCGCGCTGTCGAGCGCCAAGGCAGATGGGCCCCTCTCGGCCATGATGGCCCGGTCGCGAGACTCCAACTTCGGCCCTGCTGCCTGGCCGGTGGCTCATGAGGCGCCGCCGCCTGCGCCTTGTCCGGCTGCCGCGCCGCCTGCGGCCCCCACTGGGAGGTTCATGGTACTTATATCCGAATGAAAAGCTGTACTTACAACCCACTTCTAAGCCCTTGAAGTGCCTTCATGAGGGTATAAAGGGGTTAGAAGTGCAGTTCTAACTGGGTTCTTGGCTCAGTAGGCCCTTAGGACATTTCATATTTTCCTTTATGGGGTTTTTAGAGGATCATATTCAGGAATGTTTTTTCAGAGGGTTTTAGGGGCCATCCTAGTTAAGTACCATGAGCCTTGAAGCAGGCAAGCCGGCGTGCAGGGCAGCGCCACAGAGTCCGATGCCAGCTCCTGGTCGCCAGGCTCGATGAAGTCGGCAAGCTCATGCAGCACTCGTGCTCCAAAGGAGGCCGAGTTTAGGGTATGGAATTAGGGTTTAGGGTTTAGGCTTTAGGGTTTAGGGTTTAGGGTTTAGGGTTTAGGGTATAGGGTTTTGGGTTCAGGGCTTAGGGTTTAGGGCTTAATTAGGGTTTAGGGTTTTGGGGTTTTAGGCTTCAGGGTTTGTGGTTTAGGGTTCTCCGAATTTCCTGAAGCCTGAAGCCTAGTGGTATCTCACCCTATAGATGAGATGACCTTGGGGGTTGGACCCTATACAACACCCGAATAGCTCATAATGCCCTAATGAATAGCACCCCAGCAAGTAACACCCCAAAAGCCCTACTAGCACTTTAGACCCTAAACCGACGAAGTAACACCCAAACACCCTAAACCCCTAAACCCTAAACCCTAAACCCTGCACCCTAAACCCACCCACCCTTAAGACACCGCCTTGACCTCGGCAGGCAGGGGATCACCTTGAGATGGCGGTCCGGGACATTAGGCTGCTTGGAGGTGTTTGGTCTTTTGTTTAGAGTTCTAGGGTTTAGGGTTTAGGGTTAGGGCTTTAGTGGTCGAGGTTTTAGGTTCAGGGTTTTAGGGTTCTGGAGTTTGGAGTTAAGGGTGAAAGGGGTTCGGGGTTTAGGGTGGAGTAGGATGGGGGATCCTATGATTGGGGTAACTCAGCGCCTGCTTTTCCTCATTTAGGGTTTAGGGTTTAGGGTTTAGGGTTTAGGGTTTAGGGTTTAGGGTTCAAGGCTTGTGGCTGGTTTGGAGCTTCGAAGGCCATGATCGGGCTATAGTGACCGAAGCCCTCACCCGCCCAAAAACCCAAGAACCCTGAAATCCTGAACCTAAAGCCCCCATCAGGAAAGCCCTCACCCTAAACCCTAAACCCTAAACCCTAAACCCTAAACCCTAAACCCTAAACCCTAAACCCCAAACCCCAAACCCCAAACCCCAAACCCCAAACCCCAAACCCCAACTGCAAAGCCCCAAGCCCTCAACTCAGAAGCATGCAGCCAAATGGGGCTTTCCGGAATTAGGTTTTTGTGAGAGTTTACGATATTGGGGTTTGGGGTTTAGGGTTTAGGGTTTCCGATATTAGGGGGTCCCGTATTTGGGTCCTTACCATAAGGGAATCTGACGATTTTGGTGATTTTATTAGGGGTGCCTTATTTTCCTGAGCCCCAAAATTCGGCGGCCTGAAGTGATTCAGCCCTCTACCCTCAACCCTACAACCCTGAAGATTGAGCCTCAATCATTTTGCCCAGCTTCAACCCCAAACCCTAAACCCTAAACCCTAAACCCTAAATCCTAAAGCCTAAACCCTAAACCTGCGAAAGCCGATCCCCAAGCCCAGGTTTGCGCAAAACAGCATCAGCTCCTCCTTCCGCGACGGGCGGCAAACCTACCAGCTCCTGAACGACCTCAATAATCGCGTTGTGCCCAGGCGTAGTTAGGGTTTAGGGAGGGTTTAGGGCCTGAAACCCTAAACCCGAACCCGAACCTGAAACCCGAACCCCGAAGCCCTAAACCCTAAACCCAAACCCTAAACCCTAAACCCTAGGGGTTAGGACTGGTGAAAGGCTAAGCGTGCCTTCTGCCGAAGCCCTGCCCCCTACGGCTCTGAAACCTAAAAGGACCCAAAGCCTGGGCGGGTAATTATGCAGGTTGTTTCCGAGAGGCCATAGTTGCGCCCTCAACCCCAAACTCCAAGCCCGTGCAACTAAGGATTGTGCTGTTCCCGCAAATTTTCGAACGGGAGCCTCTATACTAGTTTGCAGTGCACTCCTGAGTTAAGAAGTATATCTTCTTTACCCCAAACCCCAAACCCCAAACCCCAAACCCCAACCCCAAACCCCAAATCCCAAATCCCAAACCCCAAAGCCCAAAGCCCAAACCCCAAACCCTAAACCCTAAACCCTAAACCCTAAGGTGTACCTCCTAACCTGAGGTCGATCCACTCCGGGATCTTGAGCCTCTCGATGTGGTGTTTTACGACGGATTTTGGCGATCTCTGTCCAATCGCAGGCTCTTAGGGTTTAGGGTTTAGGGTCTAGGGTTTCGGGTTTAGGGTTTAGGGTTTAGGGTTCAGGGTGTAGGGTTTAGGGTTTAGGGTTTAGGCGATCCTTTGTCTACCCGCAGGCTATGGGCACTCAAGTGCACCGCTGGGATGTCTGGCCGAGAACTCCTCGTTCGGGTGCGTGTCCGGCAGCCGGACAGGGAGTTCTGGAGCAAGCTGTCCAGCACCAACAATGGGGTATCGGTTGAAATTGTGAACCGCTCGCGGTCGCCCTCGCCGGCAGCCGCCCGCGCTTGATTTCAAGAGTGTGCGAGTTGAAAAAAGGGGACGGTGCGTGGAACAGATGTAAAGACTTTCTGTCGCATTTGCCTTGACAGGCTCATGGTGTAGCCGGGCTTTAGTTTAGTGCTTAGGGTTTGTGGTTGGGTATTTTTCCTAAACCCTAAACACGAAGCCCGAAACTCGAAACCCTGAAGAAGAAGGAGAAGGAGAAGAAGAAGTAGAAGAAGAAGTAGTAGAAGAAGTAGTAGAAGAAGAAGAAGAAGCGACCTGCCCGTCCCATCAAACCTCCCATTGTCCCACTCACGGTGTTTTTCGGGATGCGTGTCTAGACGTTTGTGGTCAGGGAGCAAGACGCCTAAGGGTTGGGGGTTAGGGTTTCGGGTGCAGGCTGTAGGGTTTAGGGTTTAGGGTAAAACCCTAAACCCTAAACAACCCTAATCCCTGAAGCCCCTAAAGCCCCCTAAGCGTGAACCCGGACAGTTCTTGCCCAGGTGGTGACCTCGAGGTTCTTCAACTTGGGCACGGCCACCATCAGGCTTCCCTCGCAGGACGGCGGCACCGAGGCGACGCCAGACGTTTGGGGCTTCGGGTTTACTTACGTATTAACCAATAGGGTTGAGGGTTTAGGGTTTGGGGTTCGGGGTTTGAGGTGGGGTTTGGGGTTTGGGGTTTAGGGTTTGCTTGGAGGGTCATGGTACTGTTTTAACCAATGACAACTGTACTTCTAACCCACTTATAAGCCCCACAAGTGCCCTAATCTGGTTATAAGTACGATAATAAGTACAGCTATAATTGGTTAATAAGTGCCATGAACCTCCAAGTAGGGTTTGGGGTTTAGGGTTTGGGGTTTAGCGTTTAGGGTTTGGGGCTTAGGGCTTTTAGGAGCTCAGGGTTTCGGGCAACGCCCCAAACTCCTCTAGCGAAACTTGTTCTACCCCAAGCCCTGAACCCCAAAACCGCAACACCCCAGAAGACCCCTCGACGACAACCCACCCAAAAACAGATGCCACCGTAAACCCTAACCCTAAACCCTAAACCCTAAACCCTAAACCCTAAACCCTAAACCCTAAACCCTAAACCCTAAACCCTAAACCCTAAACCATAAACCCTACACCCTACACCCTACATCCTACACCCTGAACCCTGGACCCTAAACCGAACAGAACCGTAAACCCCTAAAGCCCTGAGCAGGCTTGTGCTGCCAGCGGCCTCTGTGGCCCGGCGAATGCTACGGGTAGGATTTACTTACTATTGGTTAGTAGGGTTTAGGGTTTAGGGTTTAGGGTTTTAGGGTTTAGGGAATGAGGCACCCTATGTCCCCCTATATGTACCCTTTAAGGGATTCTATAGGGTACCCTCATTCCCTCATTCCCTACTAACCAACAGTAAGTTAATGCTATTGTAGGGTTTAGGGATTCGGGTTTGGGTTGTGGGCTTTAGGTTTTGGGGGTTCAGTGAGTAGGGCTTCGGGTTTGATAGGGTTTAGGGCAATTGCGGTTTGGGGTTCAGGGGTTCAGGGTTTGGGGCTGTAGGGTTGTAGCGACGAGGGAAGGTTCAAGTTTTCCAAGTGGCAGGCTTGGGGGGGGGGGGGGGGGGGGTTTGGGAGTTTTAGGATCTTAGGGGGTTTGGGCGTTAATGGCCTAGGGTGTCTGACGGTTCACGGCTACAGGGTTACAGGGTCACACAGTCACAGGGTTGCAGGGTTGTCGGCTTATGGAAGTAGGTTATAGGGACAAAGGGTTGTAGTAGGGCTATGGAGTTATTGGGCTTGTGTGTAGGGTGTGGGCAGGGGTTGACGCAGGCGCCCTTGTGCCACGTCACGAGCACACCCATGAACAGATCGGACGCAACAGTAGCCGGAATCTCTAGCTGCGAAAAAAACCTAAACCCTAAACCCTGAACCCTAAACCCTAAACCCTAAACCCTAAACTCTAAAGCCCTACCTGGGACCCTCTTTACCTGCAGTTTATGGGTGAAACCTATGAATTCTAAGGGCAGTTGCTACGAAACTGTGGGTACCCTAAACCCTAAACCCTAAACCCTAAACCCTAAACCCTAAACCCTAAACCCTAAACCCTAAACCCTAAACCCTAAACCCTAAACCCTAAAGGAGGTAAGCGTTCAACCCTGAAGCCCTGCAACCCTGCGGCCCCCCCGGAAGCAAACCGAAGGCCCACAGGCCTGGTTTAGGGTTTAGGGTTTAGGGTTTAGGGCTTAGGGCTTAGGGTTTAGGGTTTAGGGTTCAGGATTTAGGGTTCAGGGTTTAGGGTTTAGGGTTTAGGGTTTGGGGTTTAGGGCTTAGGGTTTAGTTTAGGGTTTAGGCTTGCAGGGTCTTTGGGTTGCGGGTTTATGCTCAGGGTTTAGGGAAGGTCGGGGTTTAGGGTAGAAGAGTTGTTAAGGCCCTAATCCTAAATCCTAAATACTAAACCCTAAACCACTTCGTCGAGAGAATCAACAGCTGCGTAGAGACCTGCAGCAAACAGAGGCGCAAGTGGCCGGGCTAAATGCCCAGGTGGGAGCCCAGCACTCCCTCCGTAAGGAGGCACAGAACAAGGCAGCGCCTACCACCACCGACAAAGTAGGGTTTAGGGTTTAGGGTATAGGGTTTAGGGTTTAGGGAGAGTTGCTCCCTGATAGCCAATGGCTTGACCGGTTGGTCTGTGATCTGTTTGATACTGCCATATCGAGGGTCCTTCTAACAGCTTACACGTATGAGTGCGACATCGACACTAAGACCCTCATCGAAGCCCCAAACCCTAAACCATAAACCCTGAACCCTAAACCCTAAACCCTAAACCCTAAAAACCCTTAGGGTTAAAGGGTTTAGGCAGCTTTCTTCCGAGGCTTTTGGGACGTCCCAGCTTGCGACGCCGAAGGTTGGACCTCGCTGGGGAGCTCGGCTTGGTGGTAAAACTTGCAGACCCTGGATTTGGACTTAGGGTTTGGGGTTTTGGGTTTTGGGTTTAGGGGTTGGGCTTTAGGGGTTGGGCTTTAATGTTGACCTCGTAATAATAAACCCCCCCCCCCCCCCATCAATCAAACCCCCCCAAATAGAGTAGGGCCCCTTTGAATAAGGATTCCTTTCCTTAGAGCCCCCCTTCAATCAAACTCCCCCAAAAAAAACCAGCCCCGACTTGGCGTACTTTGTTCCCACGGCTTTATTATTGCGGCCGGGACCCCTGGCGCACTTTAATATCAGGGGGTTCAATAATACGAGGTTAACATTAGGGGTTGGGGGTTTAGGGGTTGGGGTTTAGGGGTTGGGGGTTTAGGGTTTAGGGTTTAAGGGTTTGGGGTTTAGGGTTTAGGGTTGAGGGTTTAGGGTTTAGGGTTTAGGGGGGTTTAAAGTGTTAAGCAACGGGTCCCCTTGTAGGTACTTGTAATCAAAGAGGCGGGGGCAGGTTGAGACCCTAATCCCCCCTCCCCCCCAAGTTCTGCAGTCGAGCGGCGGTGCATCGCGGCACGTGGTATTGCACAAGGTGAGGGCTTAGGGTTTAGGGTTTAGGGTTTAGGGCTTAGGGTTTAGGGTTTAGGGTTTAGGGTTTAGGGTAGTGTTTTGAGTTTAGGATTAAGGCTGGGATGTTCCCCCTTGTGCTAACAGTCTTGGGGGTACTACCATGTCTTAGGGTTTAGGGTTTAGGGTTTAGGGTTTAGGGTCGTCCCTCGATCGTGCTGGGTCTAACTCTTGCCCTCGGCGCACGCGTGCTCTTAAGTTTCAAGATTTCGTTGGTTCGGGATTTGGGGCCCGGAGCCCTGTAGGACTAAAGCAATGTTCCCCCCGTCATATGATATGATACCCTAAGCCCTCAACACAACATAGGCCCTGAGAATATCAGCCTCCTAAACCTACCTCCCCCTTGCAAGCTCAAACCCTGCACCCCTCTCAACCCTGAGCCCTGCGCTGTGCGAGCTTAGGATTTATATAGGACCTCACCGTGCGGGCTTGGGGTGTATATAGGACCTCACACCCTACACCCCTTAAACCGTTAAGCCCTAAACTCCTCAACCCCTCAGACCCTAAACCCTAAACCCTAAACCCTAAACCCTAAACCCTAAACCCTAAACCCTAAACCCTAAACCCTAAACCCTAAACCCTAAACCCTAAACCCTATAAACCCTATAAACCCTAAACCCTAAACCCTAAACCCTAAACCCTAAACCCTAAACCCCAAGGCTGGGCAACCACAGCCCCAGCCGGCGGCTGGAGGCCCTGGAGGATCCAGAAGAGGCCATTGCGGGTGGACTTGAGGGGGTTTATAGGGTTTAGGGTTTAGGGTTTAGGGTTGAAGATTGAAATCAGTGGTTTGGGAGTCTAGGTCTTCGGCCTCTTACCGCAAACCCCAGAACCATGAAAGCCTAAATCCGAACGCCCCTAAGCCGTAAACCCCCAACCCGAAGCCCGAAACCCGAAACCCAAACCCCAATTCCTAAATCCTAAGCCCGAAACCTAAACCCTAAACCCTAAACCCGTCCCTCTGCCCTGCCCCTGTGAAGGACCCACTTCCGCTAGCACCTCTGGGGCGGCAGCTCCAGATCGTCCAGGCGACACGTCGATGTTCAAGGTCTTTCAGGGCTTTTGCATGCAGGGTTTAGGGTTTTAGGGTTTTAGAGTTTTTGGGTTTTAGGGTTTTAGAGTTTTAGGGTTCTAGGGTTTCAGGGTTTCAGGGGTTTTAGGGTTTTGGGTTTCAGGGTGTTAGGGTTTTAGGGTTTTAGGGTTTAGGCCTTTTGGGTTTTAGGCTTTTCGGCCAGGTCTTTAGAGTTTCAGAGTTTAAGGACTTGAGGTTTCAGGGTTCAGTTTTCGTGTTTAGGGCCCCAGGGTCCGAGTCCTAAAGCCCCCGAGCCCCTAAACCTTAAACCTAAACCCTAAACCCTAAACCCCAAACCTAAACCACAAAGCCAAAACCCTAAAGCCCCCGAGCCCCTCTTCAAAGCCTCCTTGCCGCTGAGACGGTTCCCACCAACAAGCAGATCGACATCTCCATCGTCTGGGGCATCAGAGTCCTGGGCTTGGCTCC